AGTCACCAGGAACGTGTAGTTAGGATTTTTTTGTTTTGCTGCGAGCAAACATTTCCAACTCCTCACTTAGGATACGAATTCGGGTTTCCTGAATGAGAGCTCAGGGTCCTGACATCCCGACCAGCCGTATCTCTTCATTGGCATATACTACTATATTATTTTGATACGAGTGATTTCAGTGGAACCATTTTACTATTTATTACATTTACGGTGCCAATTAGTAACAGATGACTGATGCTGTTTCCGGCGTTTGGAGCTACTTTTTACTTTAGCAATCTTCAAACAGAAGTAAACATAAACAGAAGTAAATTACACACAGAATCGTAACTATTTACCAACAAATCGCTTCTACTTTAAACGGCACGTCATTGACGTAACCCTCTTACGTGTCTTGAGAGTGACGCCTTTCCAAGGTCGGAGGTCAAGATAGGAGACATTATACCAACGTCGCTCTGATACAATGCTGATCAAGCTGTGGCTCCCTGTGTTGCTTCTTCTCTTGGAGGTTCAAGTCAGTAATGCTGTCTACTGCTTCATATGTAACTCCATCGAGAAACCAGCATGTGGGGATGACTTCAGGATTAGCCCCTATGACGCCGACTCTCGGTCCTATTGTCCGGGCAGCTGTGTCAAACGACGAGGGAAAAGAGCCGTTGGGTCAGTGCCTCGGATTGAGGTCGTGCGTTCTTGTGTCAGTAGCCGGCCAGAGACCTGCTTCACCGAGCAGTATAATGGCTTGAAGGTGTTCACGTGTGCCTGCAACTATGACTTCTGCAACGTGTGACCTCTGAATGTCTGACATTTGCCTAGTTTGAGTTCTGCGATCAGTAATGCGACTACTGTAACATGTGTTAATGTAAATTGTGATCTTTGTAACGTGTCTTCCTCATCTGTCTTACTTCATTTGCTTATTCTTGTCTGCATCTGGGGCAGTTGGTGCTCCTATACGGTATGCTAATCTGTGTACAATTGTATTCTTTGTATTTATATCTCCAGTATATTTTTCTCCAGTATAGTTTGCGATTTTTTTTAAATACTTAAGTTTGTATATTCGGCAGGGTAATGCCGACAACACCGCCACCATGTACCGAGTGGTCTATAGAGTATAGTTCTAGCCCTATATGCCCAGTACGCCTGAAGGTTAGGAAAGGCTTCCTTTACTTTTACTTTTGTAGTATGAGTGTACATACAAATACTAATATCTTCATTACATATACTTTTGATATCCAATGTGTGTATTTTTGGCGTAAATGTATTCATATGTGCTATTCATTAAGTTTTTTGCTCTATTGTGCCATTCTGTCATTCAGGGTTCACAAGATATTACTCTGTTCCGTTCTATCCTGTGCACATATTTCCTTTACGTGGATGGAATCCTGTCCTGCACTTTTGGCCTTTCTCATCAACGTTAATTTTATGGTTTCTTTTGGACGTCCTTACTTTCTGAATCACAATATTTCCCATTTCAGCGCCTTTTTTGGCGATTCTGTCTTCATTCTGGCCGAAAATGTCTCTCTTGCCTGGCACCGTGTATTCTGCTTTTGTTCTTTTCAATTCGCCGTGGCGTTCGATATGAACACAATATTTCCTTTTCAGAGAAGATGCTGTTTACTAGCCAAACATAGATCATGTTCAGAAATATCGCAGCCATACTGTAAACAGGCACAACACAATTACATCTTCGGGGAACACAGAAGAAGTGTTATCTTTAATGCATAAACAGTGGCGACTTGTAGCTGGCATTAGTTGGGACTTCTTCAAAAAAGTTTTATTCAATGTTTTAATATCGTGTAAAACAAACAACTAACTATTCAGAGAAACAAAAACAAAACAAAACAAAACAATAAGAAACAGTTTTTTTCCCGATAGCCTATATTGTTACAACTGCAGCTTGATCCATTCAGTGAGAAGCGAAAGCTATTGTTCTGGCTTTACTTAGCGCGGAAGGAATAATAAAACAGGACCGGTAGTGCGTTTGCTACAATACCCCTTTTACTGTATGTGCTGTATCTTATTTTGGATGTGTGCGCTTGCCACATACAGATAAAACGCCCAGCTCCATACAAGGAATTTATCACCCCCCCCCCCCACACCCACCCCCCCCCCATAAACTTGAGTGTGGCTACTGACATTAGGGATTATATAGTTCTTAAGCATGAACCGCCTTGGTGTAGCGGCTAGATGCTCGCCTGTATATCAGAAGGTCGTGGGTTCGGGTCCAGAGGGTGCCGGAGTTTGTTTTTTCCCTCTTCAGAAATGACCTTGACTCCCAGGTTAACCCAGCCATGAGTCGGTACTAGGTGCAATCCTGAGAAGTAAAGGTGGCCGGCTGACAACATCACCCATCAAGTGCTGATTGATCTATAACAGTGGTTCTCAACTAACACACAAGCTTCCTAGTGCGGCGACCCTATTTTTGCCGCGACTTCATAACTTCAAAGAATGTGTGCTTTTCAATGGTCTTAGGCGACCCTTGTGAAAGGGTCGTTCGACCCCCAAAAATGTCACGATCCATAGGTTGAGAACCGTTGATCTATTAAGTATTATACACCTGAAGGCGCGGAGAAGGGTCCTTTACCTTTACTGTATAGTGAATGTTATCCTGGGAAGGATAACCCGAGCAAAAAAAAAAATGTCTGCAGAAGCTAGATGTGTCGGCTGAAAGGCCCAACTATATCAGCCATGGTGTAAACGGGTAGAACGTATTGGCGTCTTCGGATGAGCGCGGAAGAAGAAGAATGTTAGCAATTTTATCAATTGAAAATAAGGGGAGCTGCAGTTCCGAAGTGCTTGGGCCACTGTTCAAACAGATATATGCTATTTCAGTAATCATGTTTACAAACAGAAATAAAGAACACACATACATGTGAGTTTGCCTTTAATTGTGTGGTCTGAACTTACAAAAGCACTACATTAATACACGTGATTCTGGGTGTTATTGTGTTGTCTACCCTCACATATTTAAAAAAAAAAGACATGCAATTTTTGTGTTAGTGTGAAGTTTCTACGAACACATTTAATTCATAAAAATAATTGATTATGTATACAATCGTGGGGTCTGACTCACACCTTCAGTAAATACACGTGATAATTTGTAGTTTCTGCCCACAACTTGATAATTACGTATTATTCTGTAATTGCGTGGTTTGTACTCACACATTCATAAATACGTGTCATTCTTTATGTACTTGTGTGGTTTGTACTCACACATTCATACATACGCGTGTATAAGTGTGTGGTCTGAACTCGCACCTTCATAGATACGTGTTATTATGTGTGTGATTGTGTGACGTACTCACACCTTTATACATAAGAGTGACTCCGTGTATAATTGTGTGGTCTGTACTCGCATCTTCATAAATACGTGTTATTGTGTGTGTAATTTTAGAGTCAGAACTCTCACCTCAAAACACAGAAGTGTACAGGTCTCTGATTGATCTGTCTAGGAGAAATTGGATCGTTACACATACAAGACATTCTGCATCCACACTGAACAGCAACAGTCAGTGATACGCACTGAGCGGTGGATTGCGAACTGTTTCTCCCCACGTCACTTAATGCACAAATTGAAGTTGATTGATCATCGTCATTTCTTCTTCTTCTTCTTCTTCTTCTTCTTCTTCTTCTTCTTCTTCTTCTTCTTCTTCTTCTTCTTCTTCTTCTTCTTCTTCTTCTTCTTCTTCTTCTTCTTCGTCTTCTTCTTCTTCTTCTTCTTCTTCTTCTTCTTCTTCTTCTTCTTCTTCTTCTTCTTCTTCTTCTTCTTCTTCGTCTTTATCTTCTCCTTCTTCTTCTTATTATTATTATTATTTTTATTATTATTCTTTTTCTTCTTTTTCGACCTCTTCTTCTTCTTCTTCTTCTTCTTCTTCTTCTTCTTCTTCTTCTTCTTCTTCTTCTTCTTCTTCTTCTTCTTCTTCTTCTTCTTCTTCTTCTTCTTCTTCTTCTTCTTCTTCTTCTTCTTCTTCTTCTTCTTCTTCTTCTTCTTCTTCTTCTTCTTCTTCATCTTTTTCTTCTTCTTCTTCTTCTTCTTCTTCTTCTTCTTCTTCTTCTTCTTCTTCTTCTTCTTCTTCTTCTTCTTCTTCTTCTTCTTCTTCTTCTTCTTCTTCTTCTTCTTCTTCTTCTTCTTCTTCTTCTTCTTCTTCTTCTTCTTCTTTTCTTCTTCTTCTTCTTCTTCTTCTTCTTCTTTTCTTCTTCTTCTTCTTCTTCTTCTTCTTCTTCTTCTTCTTCTTCTTCTTCTTCTCTTCTTCTTCTTCTTCTTCTTCTTCTTCTTCTTCTTCTTCTTCTTCTTCTTCTTCTTCTTCTTCTTTTTCCCATTTCTTCTTATTTTTCTTCTTCTTCTTGGCGTTCACAGACTATAAACTACGAAAAGTTGTGGATGTGCATCCACTTGTGGACTTTAGTCATGTTCCATAACTTGAGTTATTCGTACACATCCGTTTTACAAATCTGGCTTGTCTGTTTGCAGACTGTTGTTTCCTCTGCTCTCAGGCAGATGCACTGCGACTTGAAAAAAAAATACCCGAAGTTATTCGACTTTTAAGACATGCTCAGTATAAAAATTCACGCCACTGTTGCACTGTTGTGAATTCACACCTTTCATACATGGTACATGTGACTCTGTGTGGAATAATGAGGTCTGCACACACATCTTCAGTACATAAATACAAGATATTCTCACACTGCTGTGTTACGAATTCACACTCTCCCACTTTCTCTCTCTCTCTCTCTCTCTCTCTCTCTCTCTCTCTCTCTCTCTCTCTCTCTCTTTCACAGCATGGAACCAAAACTTTGCCTACAGATAGGCCAGATCTGTAAACCGGATATGCACGCAATATTCGGGTCCGAAGATGGACAAACAACCAATATTTTCCACTGAAGTTTACAGCTGTGGGACGCGAAGAAGAAGAAGAAGAAGAATAGACTCCAAGATATCAAACCTTTCAGTGTCTGGAGTTTCGCAAAGAATCGAATTCTTACAGTAGCCCGCACTAAGGCAGCAGACGATCTGGAGCGCATCCCGAACAGATCCCGCCTCTCGCCTTGTGGGGGTTTTCCTTGTCTGTGGGCAGTTTTATTGGATGAGAGAGAGAGAGAGAGAGAGAGAGAGAGAGAGAGAGAGAGAGAGAGAGAGAGAGAGAGAGAGAGAGAGAGAAATAGAGAGAGAGAGAGAGCTTTCTACCAACTGAAGGGTGAGTGAAAGTTTTACCAACTAAAGGGTGAGTGAGCGTTCGACCAACTGAAGGGTGAGAGAGCGTTCGACCAACTGAAGGGTGAGTGAGCGTTCGACCAACTGAAGGGTGAGTGAACGTTTGACCAACTAAAGGGTGAGTGAGCGTTCGACCAACTGAAGGGTGAGTGAACGTTTGACCAACTGAAGGGTGAGTGAGCGTTCGACCAACTGAAGGGTGAGTGAGCGTTCGACCAACTAAAGGGTGAGTGAGCGTTCGACCAACTGAAGGGTGAGTGAGCGTTCGACCAACTGAAGGGTGAGTGAGCGTTCGACCAACTGAAGGGTGAGTGAGCATTCGATCAACTGAAGGGTGAGTGAGCGTTCGACCAACTGAAGGGTGAGTGAACGTTTGACCAACTGAAGGGTGAGTGAGCGTTCGACCAACTGAAGGGTGAGTGAGCGTTCGACCAACTGAAGGGTGAGTGAGCGTTCGACCAACTGAAGGTTGAGTGAGCGTTCGACCAACTGAAGGGTGAGTGAGCGTTCGACCAACTAAAGGGTGAGTGAGCGTTTGACCAACTGATGGGTGAGTGAGCGTTCGACCAACTGAAGGG